TTTTTTCGGGATATTTTTTAGGGGGTTGGGTGTGGGTGTATTAACCAAATAGGGGACTTATGTCCTATTGTTAAGCACCTGTACTTGTACGAATCCTAAAATAAACCAATAATAATAAATAAATATTTCATCGGAATTTCTGCTAAAATTAATTTACCACGTGATCAGTTTGAAACAATCAGTAAGTGACCGAACTGAACGAGGCGTTGTGCCATCGATCTCTCGTCTCACGGATAGAATTTCGAGAGGGTCTTCGTTTTCGAGGTTTCCTTTTTGTTGGGGTCTTCGTTTTTGACGTCTTCGTTTTCTAGGGGTTCTTCGCTTTTTAGGCTCCCGGATATGAACGTATTGCAAACTGCTCAAGTATTAAAACTCTAAAATCTACACGTCAAGTAACAACTCTAACTATTTGAGATCCTAAATTACTCATATAACCATTTATCCAATCAATCGTAGAGTCTATTTTTCCAAAAAGGAAAAATACATAGAAACTACCCCAAATCAGGAGCCCATGACCTGGCAAATCCACTCTTTTATAACCTCCCCCTTTACCGCCTGACTTCGACTGCCGGTCGCCGTTTTCAAATCACCAAATGACCGGCAGTCCGATACTTTTAACAAATTTAAGGAATTGAACGAATCGATTATAATCATGAGTTTGTGACAGCATGACAAGCTACAGCAACGAAACGAGATCGATCGTCACTGTATTAAAAGGCAGAGATCAGAGACCTCACTCACGTGCGCTGCATAGACGCCACGAGCAAGCGTCATGATGTGACGACCAGATAGCATTTCAATCCTGCCTATTCTGGCCCACCATGCGTTAAACTGAAATATATAAAGCCCTTTACGATCGTTTAACACTTCTCAATCGACACAAGATAAGATTGTTTATGATCGGTTCGTTCGATTCCCTAAATTTGTCAAAAGTATCTGACTTCCGGTCATGTAGTGATTTGAAAACCTTGACCGGCAGTCGACCCCAAAAAATATCATTGTCATAAACCGTGGCCACGTTCTCGAACGTAAACCAACCGTTAGGTGGGAGTGTGCTGCCCGCTTCCCAAAACCCTTACCCTATTTGTAACCAAAATCTGCGATTTTCCCTACCCTGTTTATGACCTGAAAAAGTAGCTCCTTCTAAACAACATACCCAATTCAAGACTAGAGTGCAAAAATCATACCCTATTTATGACCAAATTGGCCAAAATTGACACCTGAAAACCCTAACCTTCGGCGCCACACATAACTATGTACCCCCGTCCCTGCCCGGGATCGCTTGGCAGTTCTTAACCGACAAAAGATAGCCTAGTTTGAATTGGATGTGTGTTCCTTCGATTCCTTAAATTTGAGAAAAATATCAGACTGCCGGTCATTCAGTGATTTGAAAACCGGGACCGACTGCCGGTCATTTAGCTACATCGCCTTCTTTAAGACGAGCGCCGTTGTTTAAAAGCGCACGGAAAGGTTTGTTTGTCGAGTCACACCGGGGGTTAAATTTTCGTGACATTATTTGTGCGCGACGCTATTTATGGCTCTACAGTTATTGCCGTGTGATCTCCAGCTGACCTTTACAAATAAAGGGAAAGGGATATATGCAGGGGAGGAAGATTGTGTGACGAGCCCACCTGTTGTGGCACTAGATGGATTTGTTTTCGGTCGTCCCGAATTCAACTCCTCCATGCTGTGTATATAGCCAACTGGTCTGCCTCCAATCAGTTTGGATTTTTAACAAGTTCCTGTTTATTTACAATGAAAACTACTGGGACATCAGTAGTTGTGTGTACTCTATTTGTTTCCTAGTCTATGGAAATCAAGTAAGTTTAAGTGCAAATTCTGTTTCACTTTTTCTCTGTGAAACTCACATTACCTCACATGCACGACGACCTTTATGCAGTCGTTTACATATTTTAGCTATCTTTTCGAAATGTCTACAGACTCTACATCGACTCTGTATAAAAATAACTAGACCATTACTACAGCACTTGTTGTAAACCGCCTCTAATGTTGGGGGTAACGGCCGCGCCATACAGTCAAAGTATTATTGTGATATTCACAGCAAATGATTACTGTACCTGTCTCTTGGCATACGCGTCCAAACTATGATCATCCAAGCTTTTGTCGTAAGTGTGAACGCCAATTTGAGTCGCGAATTCTGGACTCTCCTTCAGTCGCCACTCCCAAAATGACTTCAAAATATTCTCCACCTCAGCTGACATTGTTAAATTATCGGTAAATATAGAGCGGCTGAAACTCAGAGAGGTGCAGTTTGCGAAGAGAAGGCAGAATAGTTCTAAAGAGCACGAGTAACACGAGGAAATCACGAGTAATTAAGAAAAGAAGCGTTTTCCTCGTTTCGTGACACGAAGCCAGCATAGCTACCTGGGAATTGTGTTTATTGTCAGTATAGACACAGTGTTTTACTGGAAAGTAATGCACGTAATTTTTGCCGCTATTTTGTTTAAATTTTGAAACCTTTCATCCCAGCAGGGTTTTTTTTAACGTCACTTTTAATGCCCCGTTTCTTTAAACAATGTGCGGTTCCTAAAATAAATGCATGAAGCGTACGTTTGAGAGAAAATCCTGTTCAAGGTCGAAAAGCAGTCCTAAGATAATGACAAATTACTACTTACAACGTTTACTGGGAAAAGGGTTGTTTCCCAAATTTCCTACGGTACTAAAAAGGACCCACGAACGCCATTAGTTTTAGGCCGTGAATGGTCAGATTTATCAAATAATAAAAATAATCAAATGGTCTGGATAGTAGCAGACATGTTAAAATTTTGAGAAACAACACTACGTTTTTCAAAAGCATGTTTCAACAGAATCTTCTGTCATCTTCAGGTTAAATTACAAAGTACAGAGTTGAATATATAGTGTACGCAAAATGCTAATTGACTATAAGAACAAATGAAAACATGACAATGTAAAATATTACAAAGAAACTTAACATGGGCAGCCCATCGATTACTAATTGCAAATATCATGTTTATATTCCTTTTAATTTGCAATATACCATTTCATAGCAATTTTGAACATTTATAAGCAATAGTTTTGCACAGTTCCATCAGAGAATTTTCACCTGCTTGAATAGAGAGCTTGTACCTGTTTAACCAGTATTTAAGAGGAAAAAGAAGAAAACAAGAATATCCAAAGGATGGGGTGTTTTCACAAGAACAACGAAACAAATCATTTTTGATCCGTTTCCTCAGTAATTAGTTTTAATTTTGAATACCTATAAATTATGATCTACCTATATCCCTAATTAATCTGGTACTTATCGGATATTTCTCACATTCGTAAGAGGATTTATTTGAAAAGGATAATTAAAAAAAAACTTGATGCGAAAGTTTATGAAAATCCTTGTTACTAAACGTTCGTGAACAAATTCACTGACTGGTTATAAAAACATTTACCTCCGTAAAAGTCAGGAAAGTGATAACTACAGATATCTTACAAAAATATTTAATTTCTTTATTTT